CCCAGCCTATACAGTTTATATACTATACAATGCACAGTGCATCTCTTCCAGCCTTGCCTTCAGTGATCTCTCCTTGGAAGCTTGAAATCAGCTATTGTAGAAGTACTTCCACCATGGAAATTGGCAAACACTACAAATCAGAGCTTTCCTAGGGGTAGGGGAGTTTAGGGAACCCAGTTGTTAAACATTTACCAGTATACTGCTGCCTATAATAAACTTTGTGTTTCCTTTCAATTATTTGACCCAGTATAGTTAATGCAGTTACCAAATAAATTTCCACATCATAATGTAAAATTATTTTAATATGTTTTCTTGTTTAGTCACATAATAACTCTACAAGGTGAGTATAATTCCATTATATAAGCAAGGAAACAGATATAGAGAGATTAACATAATTAGGCTGTTACACAGCAGAGGTATCACTTGGAAATATATTTGACTGGCCAGGCGCAGTGGCTCACGCTCGTAATCCCAACACTTTGGGAGGCTGAGATCAGGGGATCACCTGTGGTCAGGAGTTCAAGACCAGCTTGGCCAACATGGTAAAATTCCATCTCTACTAAAAATACAAAAGTTAGCTGTGCGTGGTGGTGCGTGCCTGTAGTTCCAGCTACTTCAGAGGCTGAGGCAGGAGAATCACTTGAACCCAGGAGGCAGAGAGAGGCTGCAGTGAGCCAAGATCATGCCACTACGCTCCAGCCTGGGCGACAGAGCAAGACTCCATCTCAAAAAAAAAAAAAAAAAAGAAAGAAAGAAAAAGTAAAAAGTGTGACTCCAAAGCTCATGCGCTCCCTCTATAATAAACAATATGGAAACTATTTTAGGAAGTATTTAGTTTTGTTTGTGTATAACTAGGGAAACAAGGAATCTCCCAGGAATTTGGGCATTCTCTGAAGGAGAGAACTGTTTAAGAGAAAGGCAGGGAGAATTCAGAGAAGGAGTTTTGTAGCCTTGGTGTGATATTGAAGCAAACTGATTTAACTACTACATCACTAATGTCAGGCAAACTGAATGAATTATCACACCGTATTCATTTATAATTTTTGAATGGCAGTGTTTATGTTCATAACCAATAGGTAATGAGTCTGGCTTATTAAGAAAGACTTAGTGGTAACATTTTTTGCCTATATAAGCTCTCCTGGAGGTAATACTTTCTCTTGCTAGAAAGTTTGAGTGAGTGCAAACAAAGAAAATCTCTGGCCTGGAGAGACCAGGCCTGTGTGTGATGGCCAAGGACAAAACCTGAAAGTGAATTCAGCTATCTGCTAAAGTCATTCTAATTCCCTCAACTCACTTGTAACATCTCGCCTAATGGCTTTGCTGCTTATACTCTCAATAGCTACCTGACAGAACTGTGGTGTTCTGAATTAACAAGGCATGAGGGAATTCTAGCTGTAAGACTTTCTGGTAAACTTTTTCACATGCCTCAGACCTTGGAAACTGGCCCAGTTAGAAAAATATCAATTAGAATTCTATCGATTAGAATGCTATCATTTAGAACAACGATTCTCAGATTTTGGTGTGCCTAAGAAACACTCTGGGAGTTTGCTAAAAATGTCAATTTTCAGACTCACCTCCAGAAAGTCTAATTTTGTTTGCCTGGATTGGGGCTCAGGTGTCTGGCATTTTAAAACACATTTCCCCCAGGGAATTCTAATGCAACTTGTACGGGAACCAGAGGGTGAGAACACTCATTTAGATTGAAGCATGTTTGGTGGTGTGTTTGGGGTTCATTCCTGCTGCAGCTAGTCTAGAAGACCCATAAAAAAGAATGTAGTTCTGCCTAATAAGCAGGTTGGGGCCAGGCACAGTGGCTCATGCCTATAATCCCAGCACCTAGGGAGGCTTAGGTGGGTGGATTGCTTGAACCCAGGAGCTCAGGCCGTGTCCTCCTGGGCAACATGGTGAAACTCCGTCTCTACAAAAAAATAGCTGGGTGTGGTGGTGTGCACCTGTAGTCCCAGCCACTTGGAAGACTGAGGTGGGAAGATAGCTTGAGCCCGAAAGGTCGAGGCTGCGGTGAGCTGTAATCGTGTCATTGCACACTCCAGCCTGAGTGACAGAGCAAGACTCTGTCAAAAAAAAAAAAAAAAAAAAAGCAGTAAAGAAGGTTGGGTGGCCTTGAGGTTTGACCTAGAATCTAAGCCCTAGATAAAGGTGGAGTTTCAAGTTGCCCTAAGCACTACCAGACTTTTTGGAAAAATTGCAGCCAGCAGAGTGCTTGGGCTCTCCCTCCCAGAACTGCATTCATGCCTTACAAATTTTGATAATAACTTGACTAGTTAATCATCTGAAGGAGTACAGAATTTTGGTGTTACCTTTTTTGGGGCACTGACCTCTGCGTCTTATGCTCTGTGAGCCCCATCCTGGGATATGGTCTCAGATCCTGGATGTTGATATGTTTAATGACATATAGAGCTATATTAAGGTAACGTAATATCTACTCTGGCACATTGTTATAAGGATTAAATGGGATAATACAGAAAACAACTAGCTGAGCATCTGGCCTATAGTAGGTGCTTAGGAAGTTGAGGGATCTGGCTGTAATATCTATCACCCTAAGGGTCTCCTCAGTAAATCTGTGAATCTGGTTCACAGAGGCTGCGCCCTCCTTTTCTCTCACGGTTCTATAAACATTCCCCTTCAAGCTAGAAGGCGTTTGAAAAGGACAGACTGGAGAAGCTTGCTCTTTGTTCAACAGGGTATGAGGAAGAGGTGCTCAATAAGTTGTTTTATTCTTTATTCTATATAATTCTTTTTAAATCTCCACTTTTCCTTCTCTTTTTTTTTTTTTTTTGAGATGGAGTCTCACTCTGTCGACAGGCTGGAGTGTAGTAGCTTGGATCTTGGCTCACTGCAACCTCCAGCTCCCAGGTTCAGGCAATTCTCCTGCCTCAGCCTCCTGAGTAGCTGGGACTACAGGCACACACCACTACTCCCAGGTAGTTTTTTGTATTTTAGTAGAGACAGTGTTTCACCATGTTGGCCAGGATGGTCTTGATCTCCTGACTTCGTGATCCACCTACCTCGGCCTCCCAAAGTGCTGGGATTAAAGGTATGAGCCACCGTGCCGGGCCTCTTTTCTTCTCTAGCCTTTTCGTCAGTCATTTTTCTCTCCTAATCTCTGTACGCGCGTGCACGCACACACACACACACACACCCCTACGCACACACACACACCATACATTTTAAGGCCTCCCATGACCCAGAGACGAAGGCCAATTTTCCAATCTTTAAAGTCCATTCCTGGGGTGCTCTAGGCTACCTTGCTTCTCTTCTCCCATAGTCTCATATTTCAATTTATTCCTTCTACTTGATTAAAGCTTAGAGCAGTTCCCTTCATCTACTTACCCTTTATATATTTTAGGCCCTTTCCCAAGTTGTTGCACAAGAAGAAACCTTCATTTTCTACTTAAATTTTTTTTTCTTTTTCTTGTTTTTAGAGACAGGGTCTTGCTATGTTGACCAGGCTGGTCTCGAACTCCTGACCTCGTGATCCACCCGCCTCTGCCTCCCAAAGTGCTTGGAATACAGGCGTGAGCCACCACACACGGCCAGAACTTTCATTTTCAACACACTCCTGGTTTCTCCCATCTTTCCTATTAGTTTTGCTGGCTAATCGTAGAGTTCTGACAGCTTTTCCTGGCCCTATGCTGAACTCAGATAAAATTTTTCTCAATTTTGTGCATGGCTCTGATGCGTGACTCAAAAAATTACTTGCCATTCTTAACAATACCTTATTGTTTGTTTTTCAGCGAATGTTCTTTCAACCAAAGCCTACTGAAATCTGACAATGTATCAAACACTGTGCTAGACATTGTGGATATAAAATGAATAAAGCACTATTTTTTATTTGTCAATTATACCTCAATAAAGCTCTTTTTGCCTAGGAGGAGTTCATAGTCTGGAAAGCAAAGGCATAATATATATGTAAACATATATATTATAGTGCAGAGTGCTAAGTATCACACTGTGATGTGAAGAAAAACTAGTTTCTTCTGGGGAGGTTGACAAAAGGTGTCACAGGAAGTGACATTTCCATTGGTCTTGAATCATAAGTAGGAGTTTGGCAACCAGAGGACAGGGGTGGGAATGAAGGTAGCGGTAAAGCAGGGCATCTGAGGGAAGAGAATCCAGTGTGCAGGGGCTCTGAAATGACCGAGGAAGATTCTGACGTGTTCAGGGAAGTGTGCTGGGTTTGGTGTGGTTGGGTGGGTGGTGGAGTGATGGCGGGAGGTGCAAAGGGATGAAACTGAGAGGGCCCAGTTGAAGCAGCAGGGTTGAATTTTATTCCAGAGGCAAGAAGAGAAAGAGAACATTGTTTAAGTGGGGGAGGAAACGACCAGGTTTGTCTCTTACTTGTTCATTTCGTCACAGACCTCCGGGTTTTGGAGTCTGAGGTGCTCTGCTTGCTTAATCAGAAGAGCTCAGGCAGCCTCTGAGCTGAAACACCGCTTTCTTTTCAGGTCTAGAAACGGCATGCCTTCAATACCAGAGCTACTCAGTCTGATCCCAGTGCCCACTTGTGCTAGTGACGTTGCCCAAGGAGGCCAATTTACTACCCTGACCCTGCCCTTCAAATACTGTCTCTCTCTCTCTCTCTTTGGCTAGGATTGGACATGTTCTGACAGCTTTTGTCTCTTTGAACCCCATTTTTTCGTTCTGATAATCTTTTTCTTCAGTTATGCTGACCTTGTCTTTAAATACATTGCTAACGTTTTGGCTCATCCCAACCAAGTTTTTTTTTTAATTTTTTTATTTTTTTTTATTATTTTAAGACGGGGTTTCACCATGTTGGTCAGGCTGGTCTTGAACTCCCGACCCCAGGTGATCCGCCCGCCTTGGCCTCCAAAGTGCTTGGATTACAGGCGTGAGCCACCACGCCCAGCCTCCAACCAAGTTTTAATCCGTCTGATACAGACATCGCTGGCAGCCACGCCCACCCAAGAAATTGCCGAAACAGGAAGTTTGTCTGCAACAGGGCGCCGTACTGACGTAGTAATACGTAGGCGCAATCCCAGCTCCCGGCGGAGTGTTCCTTTTTCCGCGGGTTTCCGGTATCCGGGCAGGTCAGAAACGCCGGCTCTTCACCTCTCAGCGCGGCTTGTGCTTTGCTCCGGACGTTCGCTCCGCAGCCCTCCGGCTCCTGGGGTCGCTGATACAGCCCGCACGCCTCCACCAGCGGCAGACCCATGGCCGAGCGCGGGGAACTCGATCTGACCGGCGCCAAACAGAACACAGGAGTGTGGCTTGTCAAGGTAATGTTCGCGAGTCTTCACTTGAGTTCCTCCTAACACAAGTATAGTTTAAGTAACTTGAACCCATCCCGCTGTATGCGCCTCTTAAAGTTCTTTTACGGCTGTCTCGTTAGAGCTTCACATATTTTGAGAGGCAGGAGTCGTTGTTGTATCTTTGCAGATGAGGAAATCAGTTTGGGCACGCCAAGTGACTTTCTGCCAGTTACTAGTCTGAATTTGCCTGGACTAGTCTCTTTTTCTCACGGCTTTCCTGGAGCCTTGTCTTGATGTCCCCGATTTGGACGGTGCATTTTATCTCAGACCGAAGAATTCCTTGTGTCTTCTCTTGGTGAAACTGGTTTTAGCCATGAGCCTGTGTGAGGTAGTTGAATGTCTGTTTTCTGTACAGTTTTCTCGGCGAGAAAGTAGAACCGGTCCATGCGTACCCTTAAAGTGTTGTCTTTGGTTGACGTTCCTTAATGGAGCTCTCAAAAGAGGCGAGAGAGCTCTCAACTCACAAGAGAAGTCATTGGACTGGAATATTCTTTTAGAGCACATTTGGGTCTCGTGAAACTGACCATCAATAAATGTTTTATGTAAAGACAGCGATTTTGGTTAGCTCACAGTGGGCACTACTTGTGCTTTACTGTTTCATATTGGGGAGTGTTGTCTTCTAGGGGAGATTCATAATACTTAAGCATATTCAAGGTGTGATCCTGAAAGTCGTTGAAACTTAAAATGTAGGGACTTTGGGTTTCTTTTTTTTTCTTTGTTTTTTTTTTTTTTTTTTTGAGACGGAGTTTCACTCTGGTTACCCAGGCTGGAGTGCAATGGCGCGATCTCGGCTCACCGCAACCTCTGCCTCCTGGGTTCAGGCAATTCTCCTGCCTCAGCCTCCTGAGTAGCTGGGATTACAGGCATGCGCCACCATGCCCAGCTGATTTTTTTTTTTTTTTTTTTGTATTTTTAGTAGAGACGGGGTTTCACCATGTTGACCAGGATGGTCTCGATCTCTTGACCTTGTGATCCACCCGCCTCAGCCTCCCAAAGTACTGGGATTACAGGCGTGAGCCACCGCGCCCGGCCTGACTTTTGGTTTCTTAATGCTTTAACTTACTTTATCACATGGCTGAGTTCTCGTCAATTACATCTAAGCGGTCTTTCTTGTCGGCCTTCCTAAAATAACTCCCTTATGATCATTTGCTAACATGACAGATCCATGTTACATTTTTCAAAACACTTTTCACAGTGTAAAGTGATTTTGTGTTAATATGTTAAAAGTTGATTATCTGCGTCTTTCCAACACACAAAATTGCATTCCATGAGAACAGGATCTTTGCCTGTCATACCCAGAATAGTGTTTAACATGGTAATTGCTCAACAAAGCTTGAAAAAATAGTGTGACTTGAGTTGGTGCCGTTGTCCTAGGAGCATGGTAAATGCTCAATGTTTGCCTTACAGGATTTGGGTGGGTGGACGTAGTGTATACCATGGGGAGTGGAACAGAAATGCAAGACTCAAAATATGTAATCGTGGAAAACATGGCATGTTTTGGCCTGTCGTGGAAAACAGACCCTAGAGCAGAAGATCTGTGTAAATTAATGTTGGGCCCATATCCTCAGATTGTCATGTCATGAAATGAAAATGTTCTAACTTTAGTTTACAAGAAAGTAACAAACTTTTTGGAGGATTTGTGAGGTAGCGATGCCAGATACTTATTCAGAAAAAAAAAAAAATGTTTGGCAGTGTGCAGTACAAATTAGAGGGGAGGGCAACCAGAGTCACAATTAGAAAATTATCACAGGATCGGGCTGGGCCTGGTGGCTCATGCCTGTAATCCCGGCACTTTGGGAGGCTGAGGTGGGCAGATCACGAGGTCAGGAGTTTGAGACCAGCCTGGCCAATATGGTGAAACTCCGTCTCTACTGAAAATACAAAAATTTGCCAGACATAATGGCACATGCCTGTAGTCCTAGCTGCTTGGGAGGTTGAGGCAGAAAAATCACTTGAACCTTGGAGGTGAAGGTTGCACAGTGAGCCAAGATCGTGCTACTGCACTGTAGCTTGGGCGACAGAGCGAGGTTCTGTCTCAAACAAACAAAAAAAATTCACAGGATGCTAGGTATGTGATAATGAAGGCTTAGGAGTTAGGGAAACTTTCAGTAAAAGTTGTCAGGATTTGGCGACTCACTTAGAAAAAGAACTCGAGCAAAGTAGTTGCAATGTTCTGATTATTTTTTGTTTGCAGCCTCATTGCTTCTTCATACCAATATGGCATGCAGTATTTCTTCTTTTTCTAATATTACCTATCAAAGAAGTGAAGAAACTTGCAAATGCATCTTTTCAGGGTGTGAAGAGGGTGTGGTAGATACTTTCTCTTTCTTGCCAGATCTTGTGTGCCCAGACAACCTTATCTCTGGAGGATGAGAATTACTGGCAAATACTTTTTTTTTTTCCTTTTAAAACAGGGTCTTACTCTGTCTTCCAGGCTGAAGTGCAGTGATGCCATCACAGCTCACTGCAACCTCTGCCTCTGGGCTCAAGTGATCCTTCTACCTCAGCCCCCTGACTACCCGGGCTTACAGGTGCACACCACCACACCTGGCTAATTTTTTTTTGCTATGTTTTGTAGAGACTGGGTTTTGCCATGTTGCCCAGCTAGGCTGGTTGAACTCCTGTGCTCAAGTGATGCGCCCACCTTGGCCTCCCAGAGTGCTGGGATTACAGGCGTGAGCCATTGCACTTGGCTAGTGAATACCTTTTGTTTTAAAATCTAATCATGTTACCCCTTTACAACGTTTATCAGTGTTCTAAAGGAGTACTAGTAGGCAATGGGGTTTGGTATACACACCTGTCAGATAGTTTGAACTTGCTACATTTGCACTGGGGTTAGCATTCAGTGTGATTTCCATGCCTGTAAGTACTTGGATTTTCATTTCTGAATTATGGGAATAAATTATATGAAGCAGTGCATCAAATTGTGTTAGTCTACTTCATTTTCAGCATGTGTGTGATATTAAAGTGTAACTTGGGCTGGGCATGGTGGCTCATGCCTGTAATCCTAGCACTTTGGGAGGCTGAGACAGGCGGATCACCTGAGGTCAGGAGTTAGCCTGGCCAACATGGTGAAACCCCATCTCTACTAAAAATACAAAAATTCACTGGCCATAATTCTGGGCACCTGTAATCTCAGCAACTCAGAAGGATTGCTTGAACCCAGGAGGCAGAGGTTGCAGTGAGCTGAGATTGCAGCATTGAGCTACAACTTAGGCAACAGAGCAAAAACTGTATCTCAAAAAATAAAAATAGAAATGAAGTGTAATCGTTGCTTATAAAGTGTTTCTTCATTCTCATCTAATCAGAATTTGAATTGAACCACATATTGATTTCAAGTTTTTTCTCCTTACATTAATATTTCCTATTATAAATAATGCTTTGTGTTCTGATCTTTGTTGCTACGTAATGTTTCTTCCTAGGATATCTCAAAGTTTATAGATCATCTTGTACATATTTAATTATATCACTAGACAGGTATAGAACTGTGTAAATACAGTAAGGGCTGTACATACAAGATATCCGAGAGGTTTGAGCAGGAAAAAAAATTAATGCTTCGCAAGATGTCATTGAAAAGGTGACATTTAAGAAGAGCCTGGGAAGTGGGGAGTTGGGGAGAGATAGCATGGGGAGAAATGCCAGATATAGGTGAAGGGGAGGAAGGCAGCAAATCACACTGCCATGTGTGTACCTATACAACAATCTTGCATTTTTTTCACATGTACCCCAAAACCTAAAATGCAATAAAAAAAAAAAGCCTTTCTGGAGGTTGCAGCGAGTCAAGATTGTGCCACTGCACTCCAGCCTGGGAGAGTGACACACTGTCTCAAAAAAAAAAAAAATAATTGGATATGAGGGTGATCTGGCTGGGACATCCGTCATCCCATTGATCACCAGAGTTGACTTGGCTAATCTGACTGACTAGACAGATGTCCCCTTCCTTCCTTATTGCTCCACGTGTGTCTGTCCTGAAGCTGTGTGCTTGATCAAAGAAGATGACCATCCTGGTGGAGGAGGACTGGTCTTCAGTCAAGGGTATATGTGTGGCTGCACTCCCCTGCTAGAACCTCCAAACAAGCTTTCAAGAAGAGCCTATGGAAGGCTGGATGCAGTGGCTCATGCCTGTAATCCCAGCACTTTGGGAGGATGAGGTGGGCAAATTGGTTGAACCTAGGAGTTTGAGACCAGCCTGGGCAACATAGCAGAACCTTTATTTACAAAAACTATAAAAAATTAGCTGGGCATGGTGGCACATGCTTGTAGTCCCAGCTACTTGGGAGGTTGAGGTGGGAGGATCACTTGAGCCCAGGAGGTTGAGGCTGCTGTGAGCTGAGATCACACCCCTGTACTCCATGCTGGGTAGCAGAGTGAAACCCCTGAAAAGAAAAACAAGGGCCGGGCGCGGTGGCTCACGCCTATAATCCCAGCACTTTGGGAGGCCGAGGTGGGTGGATCACGAGGTCAAGAGATCGAGACCGTCCTGATCAACATGGTGAAACCCCGTCTCTACTAAAAAAAAATACAAAAATTAGCTGGGCATGGTGGTGCGTGCCTATAATCCCAGCTACTCAGGAGGCTGAGGCAGGAGAATGGCTTGAGCCCAGGAGGCGGAGGTTGCGGTGAGCCGAGATCGCGCCATTGCACTCCAGCCTGGGTAACAAGAGCGAAACTCCGCCTCAAAAAAAAAAAAAAAAAAAGAAAAACAAAAACCTTCCTGGCAGACTTGGGATAAATAGTGTGTTTGGGGAAAAACAAATATAGTAGAAGATTGTTTAACAAAATAACAAAATATCCAGGACCTGTACTGTTCTGGCCTATTGAAGTGCTATTTCTGGAATTTTGAATATCTTTTTTTGGGGAGCACACAGGGGACTTTATTGATGGCACATAGGTGGGGCTCCCTAGACCTCTCCCTCTTCAGGGAGTCTGCATGGAAGCTATGAGGAGGGGAGATTCTCAGCGTGGTA